TATAAAAATGAAATTAAAATTAAAATCCAAAGGAATATTGATTTTTCTTGAATAAGTTATCATTTTATATTAAATTATTTATGATTTTAATATTTTATATAGTTGGAATAATATCACGTATGTTATTTATAATAATAGAAAATATATTTTCAAGTATTCTAATAATATCTTTGAAAAAAAATGAAAATATTTAAAGTTAAAACAAAATCACTCTATTTTCTCTCTCCTTCACATGCATAAAAACTTTTTTTAATCAAATTTTCAAACTAAGGACGAACAAAAAAAAACATTATTTTGTATATTAAAACTAATTAATTACCATTTGATTATTTTAATAATATTTATAATTGGACCAAACTAATTAAAACTTACTATAAATTCAATTTATTTAACTCATTTTGTGTACGCTATAACTCGTTATGTATCGTTGTCAGTCTTACCGTAGCCGATATTGTCCACTTTAGCCATTTTCATACCTTTGTAATAAATGTTTTGTTTCTCTTTTCAACTGACGTAGGATATCACAATCCATTCCCCTTAAGAGCCAACGAGTTCCTCTTCCAATTGATGTAGGATATCATAATTCACTTCCTTTAGGAGCGAGTATCCTTGTTGACACACCGCCCGGTATTTAGTTCTAATATCATTTGTAATAGTATAAACCCACAACTAACACATATTATCCACTTTGACCCATTACACATCACTGTTAATCTCACGGTTTTAAAGCGTGTTAGAGAGAGATTTCCACGTTATTATAAGGAATGTTTGGTTCTACTTAGAGAAAGATCTTACAAAAAAAAATCATTTATGAAATTGCTTATATTTATATCTATTTAGTCTCTAAATTTATATTTAATGGATCATTTGAAAAAAAAATAAAAAAATTATTAATTATTAATTATAAATTATAAATTTGAACTTTAATTTAATCCACAATTTATTTTGCTTCATGTTCTTGGAAAACAATTTGGGGAAAAAAACTAGACGGAAGAAAGATTCGGAGCAGGGAAAGAAGATGAATTGGAGAATCGTAAACCCCAATTCCCCACTTTCCACCCTCGAAAGGAAACTGTTCGTCCCAAATCCCCTGTTCCAAAGAACAATGCGCGTTGTGGGCTCCATGTGACACACACAGTGGGGCTTGTATGCGCACCAGCTCACAGACCCCCATTTTTCTTCTTTACCATCCCTCTCCAAGCTGATGAATCAACTGGGTCGCCTCTGAAAATGAAAGATTTCTCCGCGTTTTAGCCATGGCGGTGGGACCTCTAAGCACCGCAGTTTCTGTTCATTGATCTTCCTGCTGCCATTTCTCGTTTTTGCAGTTCGCAGCAGCCACGCATTATCATCGTTGCCCGTTTTAGTTTTTGGGTCATAAAGCTTATCCTGCTTTTCCATGTGCGACCTTGGCTTTGTTCTGTATTTTTTGACACTAATTTATTCTCCCCCCCCACCCACTAACCTATTCACCTTTCTACTGCCCTCTTTTTCTTTCTCTCCTTCACCGAATATATGCTCAAACTCGGAGGCTTGGAGGATTTCAGAGGCGATTAAGGCGATTCCTCTCTTGTGGGTCTGGCTCCTTGTCTCTGCTTCTTTGACTCGACTCATATTTTGCTCCTCCTTGGATCCATTTCTTGAGGCAAGATAGTAAAAGCTGCTCTTTCCCCTGTTTATTATTATTGTCACTGTTCTTCTTGTTCTTATTATTAAACTACTATTCTTTTCTCTGTTTTGTACTTGTTTATTGAGCTTACTTTCTGTAAAAACTTTGTGTTTTGTGTTTTGGATTGTGGGTTTATCACTCTTAATCATGTTTAGCCTTTATACCCCTGATTTCCTTTGTGGGGTTGTTGCTATTTTTCCTTCTTCCTTGTTTTCCTTCACTTTCTTCCACCTTATGGTATCAATCGGAAGCTGTTCTTAAGTTTGATGGCGATTTCTTGCTTGATTCTTCGTGTATTTTCCAATCTTTTGGTTGAGTAAGTTTCTGATTTAGGAGATTCAGGGCAGGTTTGTTTCAGCTTCAAAAAGCTTGAAATGATTGATTATGGAGGACGAGAGGGAGGATGAAAGTTCCACCTCCTTGAAGTTGTTGCTGTTTTTTGGAATTGATATCTAATGTTCTTCGCTTTCAGATTGCGTTCTTGATCTTATGATCTTATGAGTATACTTCCAATCTTTGTGTATAGGTGTTGAAGAAATATGTGATTTGAACAGAGAGAGAGAGATCAGTGAGCAGTTTTTCAGCCATTTATGATCCTTAATTTACTCAAATAGGATATGGAACAAACATCTACCGATGCTCGGAAAGATCGGCAAAGAGAAATCGGTTCTTTCCGTGACAGAAACAACGACGAGGAGTTGTTAGAAAATGGTGATTTGGATCTGTCGAAGTACTCAATATCAAGAGGATTGAATCAGAAGGTAATGCTGCCTAATGCATTGTATTTGAAGTCGAAGCAATACCGAATCAGTAAAAACTATGTTCGTGATTCGGTTTTTAACTGTAATATAGAGTTAGACTATAAGGTTCCGAAGTATATGGTGACGATAGATGAGAAATATCTTCGACGATGCTTGGATATGATTCAGATTAGTGCATCGAAGCCTGTACGTTGTAACGATTCTATAAACTCGAGCTCTGTGAAGACTGGTGCTGCTTTGACTGAAAGCTTGAGTACGAGTAAATTACGAATGAGAGGGATGGATGGTTTGGAAAGGTTCGTTATCGCGTGCCCTTCAACTGGGGAGGATGGCAACACGGTCATAAGCTCGAGTAAACTGTGGTTTGTTGGTTCAATTATGGGAAGTAAGAGCATGATCAACATATTGAAGAGTCCTTTATTGCATCAACTCGGTATCAAGGAGGAAACTTCGAGTTTCGTAAGAATGGACGTGAATGATATCAAAGGCTTCGCAGGCAGCAAATTTATAGACTCTCCCAATGGTGTGGATATATCTTCATTGAAGAAGCTTGAAAATGCAGAACCGACGAAGGGAAGCCATCGAGATGGATCTGATACAGCAAACGAGAGGTTTTTCTCCACACCGAGCAGGAATTCTTTATGTTCTGATCAGTCTTCTTCTGGTTCAGCGTCCACACCGCTTTGCCAAGGTATGCTTCAGTTCACATGGAAGGAAGGAAGCCCTCACTTCGTTTTCTCTGTAGATGATGAGAAGGAGGTCTATGTGGCTGACTCGTCGAAGGTCGTGTCAGCTGATAATAACGCATTGGACTATGTTTATTTGTTTCGTTCGACAAAGAGTGGTCTAAAGGATCACGAGGTTAGGAATACCAGACCCCGTGTCGTTGGCAAGATGACGGTGTCGTCTTCTTATAGTGTCTGTCCGAATAATTCAAAAGTTGTGGATACTGAATTCGTGTTGTTTGGTGGTATCGAAAATTCTGACGTAGAGACGAATGCTTCAAACACCATTTTAAAAAAGAATAAGGTGTTTCCAAGAAAGGTGGCTGAGGTATTTAGGACAAGTAACTCATCTAAACCGAATAGATCTGGTGTCTTGAAGGATTCTTGTCCTTGGGAACCATACTCGAATAAACGCAACAGCTCCGATGACTTAATTTGTGCTCGTAGCCTTCCTCCGAATCTTGAATTGGCTGCTGTTGTCGTGAGAGACCATCTTCCGGAAGATCGTGGCAGCCGAGTTGGAGGTTGGGGTTTAAAGTTCCTCCAACGGGTCGAGGCCAAACAAACAATACAGACTGACTGTTGTATGCGAAACAGCGCAAAATGTTCGACGAGCATGAATGTTCTTATTCCTGCTGGTCTCCATGGCGGGCCTAGAACAAGGAACGGTGGTCCTTCCACCCTCATGGAGCGGTGGAGATCGAATGGACTCTGTGATTGTGGCGGTTGGGACATCGGATGCCCTCTAACAGTACTTGAAGGCCAATCCGTCAACGACGATACTACTCGACAAGCAGACGTGCAAGAATGCAGGGCATTTAACATACATGCTAAGGTATACATACACTCCCCCTTTGTGTCTTGCTGCTAATTCGAGCACGAAAACTGCTCTAACTTTATTAGTTTACTTCTTTTTGCACGACTCCGAATTCTGAATCATTCTCGTAACGTAGCTAGATTCGTGACTGTGAATCGGATAATGAGAATGCGATTGTTGTGTTTCAGGGTTGTGAGAATGGTCCTCCAACATTGAGGATGGTGAACATCCGCGACGGCTTGTACTTTGTTCATTTTCAATCGAAACTATCGTCTCTGCAATGTTTCTCGATTGCAGTGGCGATCGTCCATTCGCGAAGTCCTGGTCTCAAACCCAGAAATGTACAGGAGTTAAAAAGTAGTTAGCATAAAGCAGTAGGGAAGTTTAAGGTTTTAGACATGAAAATTAGAAGTTATAACTAAACTAGCTCTGTTGCTTCACACTGGAAACTGGATAAGGTTGTTCTCCATTTCAGCTGTGGGGACATGTTTGAAAGAACAGGAATTAGGTTAATGTCGTTTGACTTCTTGATTCTGAAGTTGACTTTCAGTTCCGTGTCCCCAACGGCATTTGTTGAGGACTTTTTGTGTTTTCCCATTCATATTATAGTTTTGTAAAGCCTATTTGTTTCATAATAAAATAATATTTGGTTCCAATAGTCACTTCAATTTTTGTTGACTTTTTTTCAATACTATTTATTTTTTTATTTTTTATTTCTTAGAAATTACACTAAATTAAGTTTTTTATTTTTAGAATTTAACTGAAAATTTAAATAAGAAGATAATGGTGAATTCGTAATTTCAGCATTAGATTTAATCTCAATTTTAATGGTGAATTATTGAATTATGTCCTTAATTATTTTCTCTAATAAGTTATTAGCATTAATACCATTAATGGCGATTGGGCCTGATGGATCAATTGGGCTCAACGGATTTTGGGCTTTAAAGCCCAAGTTGTCATCCCTCTATAATTGTCTATAAATATGGGGAAAACCCTAGCGCTTGTTGACATCGCGAGACTTTCTATTGGGGAAAACCCTTCGTTCAGTTTCGTCTCTCTCGATCTCTGTTAGTTTTGCCCTAATTGCGAAATCGCTGGTGCTGTGGTGTCGAGAATTTTCTGTATTTTGTTTCTCTGCACCTCCCATACCCAGCTAGATTGTACGCCAATCTTATCCCATTCCCAGACGATAACTTCGTTTATCGTCTCTGTCAAGGCTGGGACATTTTTACCTCGATAATTAGTTTGTTTTCTTATGGAATGTTGCAGATTGTTGGGTCTGTAATGGATGATGGAGGCTTAGCCGGTTTGAATTTAATTTGATTGATAATCGTTTTCGCGAGCAATTTGGTGCTACCAGACTTAGTCATGTGTCATCTCAAACTTTAATGGTTTGATACAGTTACGAGTCTGGAAAATTGACGGAGTCCATCGTTACAGATGTTTGTACCATTTTTAGCTCACATCTGCTCCATTTGGTCTCTACATGATAGTATTGTTCGAATTACTCCAGTTTCTCGAGATTACGATTTTCCTTTCTAGGGTCAAATATTTTATGGAATTCTTCATTTATCTACTAATTCATTTCTGCGAAAATTTGGGTCAAACGGCTGTGGAACTTCAAAATCCTAATTCTTTTGTTTTTGCAACGACTTAATGTTCTTGATTTACAGCTGTTCTTAAAACGGAGATGATTAATGCATCGTAAAGTTGTGGTATCCACATCTAAGTTGCTTCCCACGTCGATGGCTTTAGAATTGGTTAACCAAGAATTTCTGGGCTGAAAGAGATTACAATTTGTGGGGCTGCTTAATACTTCAGATCAGTTGTAACTATGGACCTTTGGAATAATATTACACTTGGATTGGTGCAATTTGGAGCTACTTAAACAAAGATTAATGGCATCTTGTGAACTTATAGACCTTTTCTGGCAAGAATTGAAGAACATATGGACCTTATGCAGGCAAGAATTGAAGATTTACTTGTGAACCTGAAGTTCTGTAGATTTTAGGAGATTTAGAGGTTGAAGCAGGTTGTGGCAGAGGTTTCTTCTCTGTACCTTACTGAACACAACAGTCGCCCATATAGCCTCCATATTCCCTTTCTTCTTCTTTCTTCAGAATCGACCTGGAACAAAATCGTCCTCTATTGACTAAGCATTATGTTATACATTATCCCATCTTTCAAACCGTTGACCAACATTTTATTTGTATTTGTGATGTGCTTTGGGTTTGACAAGAGATTAGAGATGAAAGGGATGTGGCTAATAATTTGTGAATGTATCGATTCGATGATTTTTTCAACTTCTCCAATTTAACAGTTTTTTATTAGTGGGAAAAGACCATTTGAATAAGTATACAACCATTTAACAAAATTTTGAAGGAGTATTTCAAAGGACATGCGGATGGAGCAGTTCTGATTGGTGTGATGTATTAATCTGACTTTAGGCTGGTAATGCTTGTCATTACGTTTCTTAGTCTTCATCACTCGGTGTATAATTCCAAAGAAATCCAGATTTCATGCCAAGCCCGTTGAATTGGATGCCGCCACTCTGGCCTGTCCGGCATGTGATTTGTAGCCGACACCCTCAGATTATTATTGTTATTCCTTTGTACTTTTTAGTGAAAAGTTTGGAGACTAAATCAAACACTTGATGTACACACCGAAGGTTATACGGCGAAATGGTATTATTTACATTGAAAAGGAAAAAAGAGAGATTTACATTGGCGTTGAATAAAGCTCTTCCACTTTTTCGAATGATTTGATTGGAAATAGACAAATGTGTTTGTGGTGGCACACTACAGCTTGGATTCAGGGTCCCATGTGATCTTATTTCGCCCAATCTATTGACTCTGTCCCTTCCGATCATTTCTCCTGTAATGTGCCTACTTAAACGCTCCCAAATTCCACTTCCATTGCACAACCCATAACACAATGGCGAAATCTCTACTACCCCATCTCTCCGTTTTCCTCTTCCTTTTCATCACTGCAACTGCATCGGCTTCAGACTGGAACATTCTGAGCCAGAGGTCCAGAAATGGCCTCAAAATCAGCCTTAAAAACTACTGCGAAAGCTGGAGATTGAACGTCGAGCTTCACAACATCCGATTCTTCCATGTGGTGCCTGAGGAATGCGTTAGCTACATTGGCAAATACGTTACCTCCACTCAGTACAAAGTTGATTCCGAGAGGACGATCGAGGAGTGCATCGTGTACCTTACCAAGGGCTGTGCCCTTAAAGGTGATGGCACTGATGCTTGGATCTTCGACATCGATGATACCCTCATCTCCACTGTCCCCTATTACAAGAAGAATCAATTTGGGTAACTTTCTTTTTTCCTTTACATCATACCCTTTACTTGGTTTTGTGTTTGAATTGATTGTCTAATTCTGTTTCCCTTTTGCTTGGTGTTCTGTGTTTTGATTGCTGAAGAATGTTTGTAAGTCTGTAGAATGTGTTCTGAATTCTGATTGATTGCTATTTTGTTGAATGGGATTATGGGAGGGTAGGGGGAAGAAATTGAACCTGACGGATTTGGAGGCGTGGATGAGCAAGGCCAAAGCACCACTTTTGGATCACTCATTGAGGCTTTTCAATCTGCTGAAAGCGAGAGGAGTGGACATCATTTTGATATCCGCGAGACGGGAAAATCTCAGATCTGCCACCATTGAGAATCTTGTTCAAGTGGGCTACCATGGATGGACCAATCTCATCTTAAGGTCAGTCAGTCAGTCAATCCACAAGTCCAGAAATCAGAATCCTGTCTCTCATTTTGCGAGTGAGTGATGAGTTTGTTCCCTTGTTTCTATGTTTGATTTGCAGGAGCCCTGAAGATGAGAAGAAGGAAGTGGAGCAATACAAGGCAGATGTGAGAAGGCGATTGGTGAATGGAGGGTACAACATTTGGGGGAATGTGGGAGATCAATATAGCAGCATTGAAGGAAAGCCAAGGGGAAGAAGAACATTCAAGCTTCCAAATCCAATGTATTATGTTTATTAAGCAATGCAATTTCGACTTGCTTTTGGCTTTTTAAACCGTTTCTTTTGGTCGGGAAGGATTGATCTACACAGACAGAGGGAAGGATGTGACATGTGTGATGAATAAGCTTAGCTTGCTATTTACTTGTCTGTTAAAGCTGTAATCTCGTATTTGGAACTTGTTTTGATCATTTCTTAATCAGAAAGAAGTCCTTGTGATCATCTCCTTATTTTCTCTTATTCCTTATTCTGAATGATTCATGAAACCACCGTATTTTGTCTTGGTGTTCTTTGCTTTTAAACCAGTTGGAACTTTTTCTGTGAAGATTTGGATGTTTTTTTTTGCAGTTCTACAGTTATTTGATCGTCGATGAACTGTTCAGATCTTCAATCATCAAGTTTCATGCAATTTTGGAATATTGCTGCTGCCAAATTGAAGAATATGGTAGTATAAAAGACAGCAGAAAGTAGAGAGATCTATGATTTATATATGATGATCAAGGGAACAGATTGATGAGATCAAGCAAGGAATCCTAATCTTTCTCCATTCTTCTTGGCTAACCTAATCAATCCCTGCCTTTGCTTTGCATCAGCTCCTATAGATTTGCAGAACTCAGTAATTACCTGTCCAAAAGGAGAAACTTCAACGCAGCTTTCTCACAAAGGAGAATTCAAGTGAAGGAGGGTAGCTCATTACCTGGGAGTGCAGGGCAATGGCCTTGCCTCTCAACTGATTGAAACGTTTCTTTCCTATAATATTTCGGGCAAGAACAACCACAGGTGCAAATAGTCCTTTCCCTTCATTAATATTCTTCATCACTGGCCGGAATCTTACAGGCTTTGCGACTCGAACGGCTTCCGGGACTGACTTGATCAGCACGGTGCTGTTGTGGCCGCAAATTGAAGTCCCCCATCCTCCATGGAAGGTGGAGTAAAGAGGCTTATGAAACCCAGCTACAGAAACTGAAGTTGCCATGAAAAGGGTGGAAGATCAGAGAGCTGTTCTTCTAGATGGCTTCCGTGATGGCTGGAAGGGTCTTTACCAACATGCTGGAACTTGTAATGGAAGCATAGATGTGATGATGGGTTTTGTATGCTTTGTGAAAATGGATAGTTTTGAAAGGGAGAGAGGTGAGGAGTCATTTTTGGAGCCACACAAACTGATGGCGTGGATTTTGGTTTAGATGACTGATGGTCCCTATTGGTTTGGAACATTATCAGAATCCACACTGCAATTGGCCCCTTTTCCTGCTTGCTTCCATCTGTCTACTTTCTATCAACCATATTCATTACAGGCGGCATCTTCCTACCCACTTGATAAACGAGGTTTGATTTGGATAAATTTCGATAGAATCATCGAGATAGATCTAGTTGTACGTAAAAGACGTTTGATGATGTGTCTGTATGTTTGTATTATGAAATGTAAAGATCTACCAGATATAAACGAGTACACTCCGATACTTGGATATAGTTTTAGTCGTTGTTTCATATTGGTCCCCAAATACAGGTTCTCTATGAGAATTGACAATGGCAACATGTGAAACTAAGCTCTAAGCCTCCCTGCAAGTATACTCACTGTATCTACCAACAGCGTTCCTTATTTCCAAAGTTATTTGTGTTGATGTCATAGACTTGACCATTTCATCTGGTTGTAATATCCTAAATTCCATCGCTTCATTTTAATCTGGTGTATCGGATCGAAGAAGAAAACGTTGGGAACTTCAGCCATCTTCGACGAAACCGTGCAAATCCAGGAATTTTAATTCGAAACCGGATTCTCTTGATCTTCCTGCTCAGACTATGACATTTCTGTTTGATGTGTTTAGTTCTAGCTGCCAATTTCTTCATATACTTAATGCCTGCATCCACATAGAATTAAGCTATGAGATAAATAGTTCACTATACTTGGACAATTCTCCTTTCTTAATGCCATATGCTGCAAAAGCTTATTTGACTAAACTATATGTATTGGCCTGTTACGTATCGTCGTCAATCACAGTTTTTAAAACACGTCTCTTAGGGAGAGGTTTCCACACCCTTATAAAAGGTGCTTCGTTCCCCTCTCCAACCAATGTGGGATCTCACAATCCACCCTCCTTGGAGGCCCAACGTCCTTGCTGGTGTTTGGCTCTGATATCATTTGTAATAGTCAAAGCCCATCGCTAGCAAATATTGTCCACTTTGGCCCATTACATGTTGCCGTCAGTCTAACGGTTTTTAAAACACATCTATTAGGGAAAGGTTTCCACACCCTTATGAAAGGTGCTTCGTTCCCCTCTCCAACCAATGTGGGATCTCACAGAAACTCAGAGATTAGATCGAAAGTTCGGTTTTGGATTGGCCATCCATAGCTCACTCGTCCAGACACAAAACAACAAGAGCAACAATTATGAGATGGTATTCAATCATTGTCAAGAGCATACCTTGACCCTTGTTGAGTAGGCCATCATCTGAGGTTTTCTGATGCAAGATCTAGAAATTAACATAGACATTTTTAGTGAGAAACATCATCTTCTTCCAAATATCACTGATATTTGGATATACTTGAACTTACCTCAACAAGCCCTTCTAACCGCTTCCTCATCCTTCTCTGGATAAAGCCTCTGGTTGTCTGTGTTGGAAGTTCACCAAAGATGATATCAAACAAGAGGGAAAAGGATTGTCACAGAAGACAGGTCGGAGAATAAGAACAAACATGATACCTTTACATGGTACTTAACATATGCATTAAAGTTCAGCAAACTCCACACAGTCTTCTCAAGCCTTTTACCTTCAACGTGGTGCACAGAAATATCTGTTCATACATTATGTGAACAAAGAGTTTGAGAGGATACAAGTCTATCAAGCTGAACTAAGTGATAAATATAGCTTAATATCGTACCGAACGTGACGAATCCTCCATTCGTGCTCAGTTCTTCTAAAGGTTCGCCTCTCAGTTCTGGAGGGGGTATGGGTGACCAACAACAAGGAGGTGTTTTTGACCATTTTTCAGAGCTTCCCACATCCATAAGTTCCTATTTGACTACATGAGTTGTATTATCCAAAAGAAATTAAGAACAGATCCTAGCTTTGCTATTTCAGCAACGTACCCGAAAGAACGCGGTCGCAATGATCACATCTGTATTTTCCTTGAAACGAATTGGGAAGACTATGAGGATCTTTTGGGGCTGAATGCAAGAAATTTGTCAACTAAGAGATATGAAAGTGTACAGAGTATTCATCTATCTTGCTCCTTATAAAGAACAGGCACACTGAAGTGACTCAAAATATTCCCACTGGGACTTGCCTGCTTGATAACAAAGAATGGTTCCCTCGGATGATATACAAGTTTGATGGGTCTGGAGGTTCCTTGACATAGCGCAGGAGAATTGACGTTTATCAACATTTCTTTTAGCTGAGAACTTAGGATCACTGCATGAACAGCAGCAATATCTGTAATTATCTTTTCTGGCTCTGCAAAAAGAACATCCACAACAAACAATCAATGTAATGTTATGAAGAAAACCTCACATTTCAACGTTCTATAGATCGCCGAGTAGTAAAAATTTGTTTTCTTCCTTAAACCGTAACAGCCTGAGACCACCGTTAATAGATATTGTACGTTTTGACCCGTTATGTATCGCCGTCAGCCTCCCAGTTTTAAAACACGTCTACTAGGGTAAGGTTTTCACACCCTTGTAAGGAATGCTTCGTTTCCCTCTTCAACCGATGTGGGATCCCACAATCCACCCCTTTGGGGGCTCAACGTCCTTGCTAACACATCATCCGATGTCCGGCTATGATACATTTGTAACATCTCAAGCACAATATTAGCATATATTGTCCACTTCAGCATGATACGTATCGCTATCAGTCTCACAGTTTTAAAATGTGTCTACTAAGGAGAAATTCTCACACCCTTATAAGGAATGCTTTGTTCCCCTCTCCAACCGATGTATGATCTCACATAAACTATGCCACATTGACACTGAATCTTTTCATAAACTAGTTTTCTAATTAATGAAGCTGTTCAAGTGGATAATCATACCTTCCTCATGCAAAATTTTTGCAAAGTCGATTCTTAGAGTAAGTTTGTATCCTTCTTTTGCAGGTTCAATGATCTCAACAGCATGAGAGCAAATTTGTTTTACCATTTCGAGAGTATATGGCGAGAGCCCATCAGATAAAAGAACCCCTTGTGACAACAATGGAGTAGCAATCGACAAGTAAACGTGCAGTGAATCCGATATGGAAGACTACCAGACAATCAAAAAGCCATTAGGACACTAATTCAAATCTTAAACATGAACAGTCCCAGATGAGTGAGAAGAACAGTACCTGGATATGGTACTGAACAGAACCAAATTCATGCAAGTGATGCTCAATTTCTGTCGGATTTTCCGAACTGTAATCATAACCAACACAATTTAATCCCTAAAACCTTATCTATATGGGTTTCAAAGATTTTCAGCATAGAACACATGAACTTGTTTCTCACCTGTAGAGCTTAAGGAGGATCTCCTTCAAAGCTGGTGAAGCTCTCTGAAAGCAAGCCATCCTCACAAGCACAAACAGCCCTCTCTACCTCATTTTTCATGGTAAATGAGAAGAAAGGACTCCAATACATATTCAGTGTAAGAAATGTCCACTCCTTTTCGATTGAGATCATGACATTATGAGTAATTTCTAAGCTCCATATCCACTCAAAGTTTGGTAACAATAGAAGCAACCAACCCATTAGACCAATACCATCTCTTTCAGTGGCTTATCGATAAAGCAAATTTAGGGATTACCCATTTGATGATCTCCACTTCCCGATGAACCCTTTGTTTGGTGGCGCTGATTGAAGTTGATTTGCCGCTAATCTCTGCAAGCCCTCATTTCAAGTTTGACGTGGGTGTTGCTTCCATTTCATGCCATCGTTTTTGAGAGGCGTAAGTTTGCAAATTCCTCAAAGCAACGATCCTTTTAAGTTTCCCTCTGGATCTGGGCCTAAACAAAAGGAGGACGCAATAATTGATTTCTTCCATATGAAATGGGTCGGCGCTTTACTCGAAGCCCACTTCAAGTTTAGATTTTATGCAGAAATGGTTTTGTTTATAAATAACATTAAGATAATGTCTTAAATGGTAATTTAATTTACAAACAAAATTGACATAGTCATGCTCCAACATGCTCATATATTTATATTTATAGCTCATAAATTTATATAATATATGCTATGGATGCTATAAATATAAAGCCTAAAGTACTTAATTACTAATTATGGTCCGAAAACAACCGGATATTAACGACATGAATTAATGTTAAATTAACGTCAATGGAACAAAAGGAAGACAAGATCCGGTGGTAACCGACAGTTTATGAGCAACGAATTTAACGAACACCCGCCACTGCGACCCACGGATGGCTCTTCCCTTCTCCTATCTATCCAATCCAGACCGTCCGATTCCACGCCATTATTCGATATCACTGTTCACCAATCACACCCAAGTAAACGCCTTCTTTCCCCTCTGTTTCAGTTAATTGCTTTTTTTCGCGATCTGGACAACTCACCCTTTCATCGGAAGGTCACGATTTGAGTTAAATTTTGGTTCCGTTATGTTATATGTAACCTCCCCCCTTTTTTTTTTCTTCAATTTTTCTTTTTGGGTTTTGGAAGGGATTTAATTTTCTTGGGAGTTCTATCTGTTCTTCGTAGCTTTGTTTGGTTAAAGTTTTAGATCGGGGGTTTTACTTTTTTGAGACGGGTTTTTTGTTGGGGTTGCTGGGCTCATAAATTTTGAACCCGTGAGCGTTGACCCAGTTGCGGAATCTCAGTTTTGAGCCGCTGAATTGTGTTCTTATTATATTGGGGTTTTTACAAAAACTGGATTTCTGAGATGGTTCGATTTAGAAATCCGAAATCTAGGTCTGTTTTTTGGGGTTGTTTATAGGGCAAATTTCCGATTGGATTTATACTGCGAGTTTCGAGGCTATGGGCGGCGATTCTAGGGCTGTTAATGGCTACGATGAGAGGTCTGTGGACTCTGCGGCGGCGGGAGAAGTTGGGGATCATAGAAACGGCGAAGATGACAGTGAATCGAATGCTCTATTGCCGCCGCGGCGCGGCGGAATGTCGAGGAAATCGAATAAGCCGAGGATGAAAGTCCGGTGGAATGATAGTAATGGTAATAACCTAGCGGAGATTTTGGAGTTTCAACCGAGGTAGCTTAATTGTTTTCCCCTTTTCTTGGAGCATTTTGATGGCTTTTTTGGTCTGATTTCTGTAATTCTGTTCTTGTTCTTGTTCTTACATTTCTGTTGATATTTGAACTTGAGATGTTTGAAGAAGCTGAAAGTTTCCATATCTGGGTTAGAACCAAAAATGCTGCCTGATCTGTTCTTTGGGTTATTCTAGTTCGATCGAAGAAGAACGCCAATTTAAACATAACTCAGTTGATAAAACACTAATGACGAATAGTTAGAACAGGCTTGAATTGAGGGATATGATGCTTGAATGTTTTGTATTGTGACATCATTGGCTGTTTTCATCTTAGACTGAAGTTAAGAACATGTTTTAAGGTAGATGAAATCTATGTTTGAATGTAATGGATGATGCTGTGGATTGAGTATATCTTTGTTTTTAGATTTGTAAAATTTGGACTGGTTTTTGTGTCTGTTCGTTCTGCAGCGACGTGAGCGATTCCGGGGACGAGGAGTCTGATTCTTGCAGCTGTATGATTATGTAGATTATTACATCAAATATTAGTGTATGACGACGAGAACAATGTCATTTCTTTACGACGAAACTGATAATAATTGGCGATGTTTCTGACTGTATAACGGATTGCTTTTGGTACTACGACGACTGATAGAAGAGTTCAAAGATCGACTGATTAATATGTCGTTTCGTTACGCCTTGCGGTTTCTGGCGATGTGTCCGAGTTGTTTTTCGAATTTGTAAGATCACCTTCCTGCTGATATGATGTATGGATGATGCTGATATTGACATTATGAAATCACAGATTAGTTGAGCCTTTGACAGTGCAGAATGATGTATTATGTAATGCAAACACTTGGAATTCTTCTTCTATATCTATCATTGTTAATGATTCATAGAGCTTCTCGACCTTTTCTCTGTTGTTTATTGCTCCCGATCTCGAGATTTCGTGAACGTTTTTGTCGCCGTTTTCGTTTTTTCATCACGAATTAGCCGTAATGTTGTAATATAACCAGAAACTCAAGAACCTCCTTATCATGTTTTCCACATTTCCATGATTAAAAACCTCATCGGGTGGGAAACTGAGTTAAAGCTGCATGCTTAGGCATCTATTGAGATACGTAACGGGTCAAAATGGACAATATCTACTAGCAGTGAGTTTAGACGGTTACAAATAATATCAGAGCCAGACACTGGACGGTGTGCCAACAAGAATGCTGGCCCCCCAAAGGGAGTGGATTGTGAGATGCCACGACCTTATAAGCGCTTGGAAACCACTTTCCCTAGGAGCTGTGTTTTAAAATCGGGAGATTGACGGCGACACATAACAGGCCAAAACGGACAATATTTATTAGTAGTAGCATTGGACCGTTACAAATGGTATCAAAGCTAGACACCAAGCAGTGTGCCAGTGAGGACGCTAGCCCCCTGAGGGAGGTGGATTGTGAGATCCCACATCCTTATAAGGGTGGAAATCACTCTCCCTAATAGACGCGTTTTAAAACCATGTGATTGACGGTAATACATAATGGGTCAAAGCGAATAATATCTACTAGCAGTAAACTTGGACCATTACAAATGGTATCAAAGCCAGACACCGGGCGGTGTGTCAGTGAGGACGCTAAGGGGTGGATTGTGAGATCCCACATCCTTATAACGGTGTGGAAACCACTGTCCCCAGTAGACTCGTTTTAATATCGTGAGGTTGACGGCGATACATAACGGACTAATACAGACAATATCTACTAGCATTGGGCTTGAATGGTTACATAAATATTAGTTACATAATGAAATGGGCACGAATATAAGACAAATATCAGGCCAATTAGCAACTATAAACAAAATAAAACAACATATTTTATGAATGGTCAATCTACCCTGTCCTGTTTTATGATGGATTGATCAGTTCAAGTAATTCAGAAACAAAAACAGAGACAGGACAGGGACGAACAGAACATCAAAGAGATCGAATTCTGAAACCTATGGCTATTTTTAGCAAAACCCTTTATCAATCAATCTCCTTGTTTGAGTTTATCTCCTTGTTTCTCGGATAATTGTGATGAACAAAGCTGGATCAGCCACATCTTGCTGTCGATGTTCTCTGTCATATAACTAAAGAAAACAAGAAAACAGAGTCAGCATCCAACCCCTGTCACCACCAAATCTCCTAAAAGGGCTCTGCTTTAAGAGAAATTTGCGGCTCATCCTTCCACTTATCTCCCGCCGGATATCTAAGAGGAGGAAGGGGTGAGAAAAAAAAAAAAAAAACAGAGGAAGAAGTAAAATTGAGAACGTTCCAGTCCTCCGAAATGGGGCACAGCCACAACGTCCGTCGTGAGTCCCTGTCAGGGCACATGTCCGTTGCCCGGCCGGACTACCACGTCGACGTTTATGAGAACGATCTCGTGTGGCCCTTCAACAAGCTCGACGGAATCGACCGGGATGACATCCGTGCGACTGCATACGAGATCTTCTTCACGGCTTGTCGCTCCTCACCGGGTTTTGGAGGTCGGAACGCTCTTGCATTTTACTCCTCTTCTAATCTTGACAATAGCGATGGCACTTCGAGTCCGAAACCCAAAGGGGTTGTGATGACACCCACCGGTCGGATCAAACGGGCACTTGGGTTGAAAATGTTAAAGCGCTCGCCGTCCAGGAGAATGTCGACCGGCGGGAACTGTGGCTCGAATCCACCCTCCCCCAGCTCTCATGGTAATAGTGGGGCTAGCCCTGGTTTGTCGAATACTCTACCGTCGATGAGACCCCGTCGGCCAATGACGTCGGCGGAGATTATGAGACAGCAGATGAAGGTTACAGAACAGAGTGATAACCGGCTTAGGAAGACTCTGATGAGGACTCTTGTAGGCCAAGTAATTTCTTGTTTTGTTTCCATTTTTGATCTTGGATTTGTAATTTTTGTGGTGTAATTGTGTTTTTTGGGTATGTATGAACAGGTGGGAAGACGAGCAGAGACCATAATTCTTCCATTGGAGCTTCTACGCCATCTAAAGCCATCGGAATTCACTGATGTAAATGAATATCATTTTTGGCAGAGACGGCAGCTGAAGATCTTGGAGGCAGGGCTTCTTCTTCATCCTTCCATTCCACTTGATAAATCAAACACATTCGCTATGCGTCTTAGGGAGATCATTCGAGCGAGTGAATCAAAGCCAATTGACACGGGGAAGAACTCAGACACAATGAGAACGCTATGCAATTCTGTTGTGTCATTGTCTTGGCGGAGTGTGAATGGGACACCAACGGATGTATGTCATTGGGCTGATGGCTTTCCTCTAAACATTCACATCTATGTTTCTCTTCTTCAAACCATATTCGACATCAGGGACGAGACGTCGGTACTCGACGAGGTGGATGAACTTCTCGAGCTAATGAAGAAGACATGGTCGACATTGGGAATCACTAGGCCGATTCATAATGTGTGTTTCGCTTGGGCGTTATTCGAACAGTATGTTGTGACAGCACAGCTTGAGCCAGACCTTCTTTGTGCTGCTCATACTATGTTGGCCGAGGTCGCAAACGATGCCAAGAAGCCAGATCGAGAGGCGATGTACGTAAAGCTTTTGACATCGGTATTGACTTCGATGCAGACTTGGGCCGAAAAGAGGTTACTTCATTACCATGATTATTTCCAGAGGGGGACAGTTGGTCAGGTGGAAAACCTTCTACCCTTAGCCTTATCTGCATCAAAGATTTTAGGTGAAGATGTTACCATCACAGAAGGGGCAGGCCAAGACCGGGGAGATGTATTGGTGGTCGATTCATCCGGTGATCGTGTCGACTATTACATCCGATGTTCAGTACGAAACGCGTTTGGCAAGGTTCAAATTCCATCCTTTATTACCTTTACTCATCATATCTGTTGAATCCTTTATCACAATCTCATTGCAATTTAGGTACTTGAGAATGGGAAAATCAAGGAAGCTAAAGGTGAGGGGAGCGAGGCTCTGCTTCAATTGGCCAAAGAAACAGAGGATTTGGCATTAAAAGAGAGGGAATGCTTCAGTCCCATACTAAAGAAATGGCATCCAACTGCAGTAGGAGTTGCAGCAGTTACATTACACAACTGCTATGGAAGCATGTTGAAGAAGTATCTGGGCGGGGTGACGATGTTGACGAGCGAGACGATCGGTGTTTTTCATCGGGCTGGAAGATTAGAGAAGGTGTTAGTTCAAATGGTGGTTGAGGATTCAGCTGACTGTGAAGATGGTGGGAAGGCAATTGTGAGAGAAATGGTTCCTTTTGAAGTTGATTCCATTATATTGAACCTCTTGAAATCATGGGTTGATGAGAGGCTAAAGAAACAAAGAGACTGTCTGAGTAGATCAAAAGAATCAGAAACTTGGAACCCGAGGTCGAAAACGGAACCGTACGCGCAGTCGGCTGTGGAGTTGATGAAGCTAGCTAAGGAAACAGTGGAGGAGTTCTTTGAAATTCCTATTGGAGTCACTGAAGAATTGGTTCGAGAGATTGCTGCTGGGTTAGAGCATAGCTTCCAAGACTATATCACATTTGTGTCATCATGTGGTAACAATCACATACTGTCCTTTATATGTCTGTCCCAAATGAACATGATGGAAGTGGTAAACAATGTTGTGTTTTTTCAGGTTCAAAGCAGAGTTACATCCCACAACTGCCTCCTCTAACCCGTTGTAACCGAGATTCGAAGTTCGCCAAGCTGTGGAAGAGAGCCACTCCTTGTAGTGTTGTCGGAGAAGAAACGACGCATCATCTTGGTTCTCAAGAAGGTAATCAAACGCGAGCGTCGACCAGCCGAGGAACGCAACGGCTATACATTCGCCTAAACACATTGCATTATATGTTGTCCCACCTACATTCACTCAACAAAATTCTTTCCCTTTCTCCTAAAGTCACTGCTTCAACAGGCCTCCGTTTCAACAGTTCTAAATCATACAGAAACTCATCTTACTTTGAACTTTCCAACAGAAGCATTGAATCAGCTTGTCAACATGTATCAGAAGTAGCTGCTTTTCGTCTGATATTCCTTGATTCAAGTTCTGTGTTTTACGATACCTTATATACAAACGATGTCGCAAATGCTCGGATTCAACCAGGATTGCGAGTTTTGAAACAGAACCTTACCTTATTATGTGCAATTGTGACTGATAGAGCTCAGGCCTTAGCAATGAAAGAAGTGATGAGAGCCTCTTTTGAAGCATTTTTAATGGTTCTTCTAGCTGGAGGGTCCTCTAGAGTGTTCTATCGTTCCGATCACGAGATGATCGACGAGGATTTTGGATACTTGAAAAAGATATTCTGCGACTGCGGTGAGGGATTTCTTCAAGAGAATATCGTCGAGCGAGAAGCCGAGGCCGTCGGAGGAGTAATAGCATTGATGAGCCAAGGTACTGAACAACTGGTTGAAGATTTCAGCATTGTGACTTGTGAAACAAGTGGAATAGGAGTTATGGGTTCTGGACAAAAGCTACCTATGCCTCCGACCACCGGACGTTGGAACCGAGCCGATCCGAACACCATCTTACGTGTTTTATGCCACCGGAATGATCGAGCTGCCAATTTATTCTTAAAGAAAACATTCCAATTAGCAAAAAGAAGGTGAACCAAATCTTCTCTTGTATAATAAAGCAGAGACAAACACAAACACAAACACAAACACAGAGTATGTATGTGTGTGTATACTACCAACTTTAAATGAAGCTTGAGAGATATTGAGGGAGGCTCATTGCATAAATATTATTAACATACCAAAGTTCTTAAGATATCAACTCATTCCTTTCTGTTTCCTATCTCAATTAACAAAACCATCTATGTTTCTTACATGTTTAATTAACGACGACTAAATACACGTTTCTAGAAAACAAAACCTCGTCTTCCTTAACCACGACTCCTTCGAAATTGTGTCGGTCGAGTCGATCGATCGAAAATGGCTTCATTTTTCAACCCACTTCATTCTTCTTGTTGAGTTCATCAGACACTTCAGCTCTGTACACATAGAGTTGGGAAATGCCCAAGAACACAAAGAAGTTAACACCACTCATAGCTGCAAGTAAGGCATAGAAGTAATCAAGATGAGAAGCATTCAAGTTGTTCAAGATCCACCCTTCGCCATGTCTTTTGGTGATCTCAGAAACTTTTGAAAGAACAAAGCTACTGAGGAAGTTCCCAATTCCAAGGGAAGTCATCATGTATGAACTGCCTAAGCTCTTCATGCTTTTTGGTGCTTGATCATAGAAGAACTCAACGTTGGCTATTTGAAGTAATGCATCTGCTACTCCTGTGAGCATGAACTGAGGCAGGAGAGTGAAGATGGTTAAGGGAAGTACTTGTCCTGAGCCATTTCTCACCAACCCATTTGCTCTAGCCACGTGAAGTCGGCGTTTTTCGACTCGAGACGCCACTGTCATTACCAAGACATGGAAGATCATTCCAATTCCCATTCTTTGTAGCATTGTTATTCCTCTTGGGTTTCTAGTAACTCTCTGCATTATCTTCACAAAGATCCTGTCCAGTGTCCCATGAATGAAAATAGATGCATTAACTAAGGATCAGATCTCATTTTCATCACTGTAATGAAAAAGCTAAGCAAACCTGTCGTAGATGACAATGGAGAGAAGCATGGAGATGGTAACAAAAGCATATAAACTTGCAGGAGGGACTTTGAAATGGCTGCCGATGGTTCGATCAAGAGTGGTGCCTTGCTTGATGAAAAGGGTGTGTGATTGTGCCACCATTGTGCTTGGAATGAATGTGCATATCAGAATTGGGATCATTCTCAGCATTTGCTTTGTCTCTTCCACTTGGGTCACTGTGCACGACCTCCATGGATGACTTGAACCTGTTCTTACAGCAGCCTTATTCAGAAACCTACGTATAAAAATTCAAAACTATAAAAACCCTGTTCTGGCTTCCGTTTAGGCAATAATCACGAGTTTATAAGTAAGGAATACATCTCTATCGATAAAGAGACCTTTTAGAAAGCCCAAAACAAAGCCACGAGAGCTCATACTCAAAGTGGACAATATCATAATTCGTGATTCCCAACATGATATCAAAGTCATGCCCTTAACTTAGTTATGTCAATAGATTGTAAGCCTCGAGTAACTCAAATGCTGAACAAAATGTGTACTTTGTTCGAAAACTCCAGAAAAGGAGTCGAGCCTCAATTAAAGGGAGGCTGTTCGAGGACTTTATAAACCTCAGGAGGTTCCATAGTGTAATTTGTTCGAAATGAGGATGGTTGGGAGAGAGTCCCTCGTGATCATGGGGTTTTTAGAAAATTCTAAAGTAAAGCCACGAGAGCTTATGCTAAAACTTGACCGAGATCCGTAACAGAGTTATGGTCACCTGAAGGATGGAGTGGAATCAATCTTTGGGTACTGTTGAACCTCAAGCTCATATAGTTGATTTGGGTCATTAGGAAGAGGAACCCTCCAATTCCTCGCAGCAGCGACAATGACACGAGCCATTCTAAGGAAGGGGCTTCCTCCACTGGGGAGCCGATGGCGATAAAAGGGAGTGCCGGCAACGAATATGAGAATGGCAACTCCGAGGCCGATGGTGGGAATGCCATAGCCGAAGCTCCACCCGACATTGTCCTGAATGTAAACCAGAATGGTGGAGGCAAAGAGAATGCCGGAGAACACACTGAACATCCACCAGTTGAAGAAGGACAGCTTTTGGGACTTCTCTTTTGGATGAAAATCGTCGAATTGGTCGGCACCCATTGTCGAGATGTTGGGTTTGGTGCCGCCGCTGGCCACTGCCAACATGTAGAGCGACCCAAAGAACACTGCCAGCTGTAATTTGGAGGCTTGTTTGCAGTTTTCTTTACTGGGTTCCAAACATGGCGGCGGTTGTAGGCTTGGCACTGACACTGCTACCGTTAGAAGAGACATCGCCTGTGGAATGTAACAAATTTCTCAAATAAACTCGTACCAGTTCCAACCACTCGAACGGATACTGTCTTGTTCTTCTTTTCGTATTATTTTTAAAACAAGTTCACTAAAGAGATGAGGGGTTTCCACCGTATTGTGAAAAATGTTTTGTTCTCCTTATTCATCCACCCGAGAACTCACAGTCCACTCTCTCTAGCACCAAACATCCTCGCTGACACCTATTCTCTCTCCAATCGATGCGGTTCTCATCTTCAATCAACTTCACTTTGGTTCGTGGGTTGAAATTTTTTTTGGTTGGATTAACCCGATCAACCCAAAAATAGGATTCATAATTTAATCTAACTTTACTTTAAAAATTGTATTCGAGGTTTGTAACATATGTTTGGGATGCACTCTGATTTGGGAATGTTAAATATTCAAGTTTTATAAGATTTTAGTTATTAATGTAATGTAACGTTCAACTCAACTCTATAACTCGAGTAGAGTTGAGTTTGTGAACCTTATTTAGGTCACTCGCGTCGTTGTAAAGATAAAAATCGAGATGAAATAAATACTAAACTCAAAATGATTAATATATATATATTCCTTTTAAAAAATAGTATTAATAAGAAAAACATCTATATTTAAAACTCAATTAATTGGAACCATACCATAAAGGAGGCGAGGGAGGAGATGAAGAAGGTCCGGTAGCAGCCGAGATGAGCGTCGGCGACGTAAGCCCCGAAGATCGGCGTAATCCAAACCGTTCCAGTCCAATTGGTGACATTGTTAGAGGCAGTGACAGTGCCTTGATTCAGCTTGGTCGTCAAATATATAATCAGATTGGCGGCGATCCCGTTGAACATCATCCTATCAATCAGTTCGTACACTGTAAATCCAACACACACACACTTTCTCAGGTCAACGGCGGCGCCGGAAATTGACAGATTTTAAGGTTTTAAGAAGGCTTTTACCGACGATGAAGGAACACGCTTTCCAGCCGCCGGTGTTGGACCGGAGAGTCGGGTTGCCTTTCCGATCGACGGTTCCGTCTTTCGTGTAGTCGTCGAGGCCGCTCTCTTGATCTTCTGCTGCTGCTGCCGCCATTAATGGGTTTGAGGAACTGCGTTGAAGCTTTTTGTTAGTATTTGTATATGTTTATTGAAATATGAGACCACATCGGACCACCCCTTCTATATTTTTATATACACTAACGACGCAAAAATAAAAAAATAAAAAGAAATGTAAAATAAGAATCTTTTATTTTTTTTTAATAACCGAACCGAATCATATTATTTTATTAGAGATGTCTATTTAACGTGTGAGATGTAGAATATGAGAGATAGTAAAGAGAAGATATTTAGTCAACTAAATGTGATCGGGACAATTTACCCAAGTTCCACCCACGCTCGAGCCCATAAAAAAGAGATCCAAGACCCAAATGAGCATTGGGGAAGAAGAGTAACGGACTAGAAGTCCAGAACCTCACCTCGACTAAAGTCAAGATGGTCGAGGGTAAGGATGTTGAACACAACTCTTTGTGGTAAACACTCGCACACCTTATTAATACCAATCAATCGAGAAGAGATTTACAAAACAGAAACTACTACTTGTGATTTCTTGCTATATGAACTAAGTATGATGGTGGTATACTAGCACACTCAATCTATTCCTAAAATTTCTCTAACATTTTTTTTAAAATACCTAAATCATTTTCTTAAATTTATTCCTAAAATCCATAAATATGTACTAGTGATAACATTTTAGCAAAGGAGATACATAATGGATCAGAGCAGACAATATCGGCTACTGGTGGGCTTGGACTGTTACACTTGCACACCCTGATCTATAGAGACTATGATGGACTCGGTTCAACCTATTTCCCTTCGATCCAAGAGGAAAACTAAACTCCAGCTCAACTCGCATAAAAAAGATACCCAACATTGACCTAAACTATATAATATAAAAATTCATTTACTCCGCTCAATTTTCATTTAAAATTCTAAAAAAAATATAAAATATATAATCGTTATAATATTTATTTATTTACTTTATTCATTTATTCTCATTGGACAAAAACCTAATAAAATTAAAGAATTAATTCACTATTAAACTCTAATATATTAATTATAAGAATAATTTAATGCACCACATGCAAATATTCATGCTTATATAAATTATTCAACAATTATCTGTTTTCCTCCTGAAGAAACTATACTATTGGTGATGTCATTTAATAAATTTAGTCAAATTGGTGACTATTAATTTATTTCCACCTAATGTTTGACCTTTATTTATTTAAATTATATATAAAATCTAAGTTTTGTTAATTCATTACAAAAATTTGGAAGATCCTGAATCTCCCATCTTCGTCATGGCAAACGTATTTAAATTATAACTTCATTTTTATATCCATTTTTAAATTATTTGACCATCGGTTACATTAATCCAATCAAAAGTAGAGTTTTGAGGTTACCAATGACAACACGAGAATCGACCCAGAAAATATATTTCGTATATCATGTAAGAAAATACATAATTAGATCGTTTGTATCTTCCTACTACCCACCATTAAAAATTTAACAACTAACCATTGAAAAAAAAAACATAGTGATGGTTAGTAGAGAGTAGAACGAGTCGATTCAATTATATCTTACGTAGCTAAGTGTGAGTGTGTTTTTCACCGAACGGCTTCAATTTCTTGTCCTTGAGTTCATCAGCGAGCACTTTTATGGAGCCAGAGACTTCAGCTTTGTAGACATAGAATTTGGAGATGAGCAGGAAGAGGAAGAAGTTGATGGCACTAAGAACTGCCAAGAACGCGTAGTAATAGTCAAGATGAGAAGCATTGAGGTTGTTCATGATCCATCCATTGCCACGTTTGTGTGTAATGCTAGACACTGTTGAGA